CACTTTTATTAGAGGATGTAATATTTGTCTTTTTTTTTGAGGTATTTATTGTCTTATATGACTTAAAAAAAATCTTATGGAATATGAAATAGATCTTCATAGATTCTAATAGATATAATCAATAAGCAATAAAATTGATTTTTTCACAAATAAAAAATGGTTTAAGCGTACAATAATCTAACTTGTCACAATGATGACTAGTCTTATTATTGCAAAAAAGTAACTATATCTTATTGCCAACAAGGGAATTAAGAGTGCTTCTTGCAATATATATTTGTATTGGTTTTTTGTCGTTCTTAATTTTTTTTTAATTGTATCTTTATTCTTATATAAAAATCAAATAAATGATTTATCAAATCTTTTGCTAAGGATTATCAATTTTAAAAAAGTCACAAGCATCAAGTTGTAGATGATAACCATAATTAATACAAAAAGTTATTTGTTGCATAGAAAAATATATCATATTATTATAAACAAAATTTTCCAATAGAAAAAAAATTATCCAACCATCTTATTAGTAATGATAGTGCATCTTAAATACTTCTCCAAAATTTGATTTACATACTTTGTTTATCTATCAATTTAATAATAAAAAGTCAAAAAAAGATTTATATCTCTTTTTATAATCTTAAAAAAAATTCTTTAAAACCTTGATACAAATTGAACCTTTTTATGTAATATAATATCTTTGCACAATCTATGATAATAATAGATATTTGTCACAAATATATATTTATTATAACTATTAGATAATAAAAATAAATAGAAGTAGATAAAAGTGGGTTAAAATAGATTAATTTTATAATACCTTCTAGATAAGCTTTCTAAAAGCTTTTTAGACTTTATTTTGACTTTACATATGTTTATAGTTGATTAGTAGGTTAGAAATTTAGTCAAAAATCTATCAACATGCCACATGAATTGATAGCTTATAGAACAAACTAACTATGTGGCATCCATATAAAAAACTTGCCTTACAAATTAAGATATATGTCATGCAAAATCAAAATATTTTTGAAGGTACCATGGAATGTTGCTATATAGATCTTAAATAGATAGTATATATAGATGCAAGAGTGAAGCCTTCTCTACTCTTGTCAATTTCTTTCTTATTTCTAGTTTAATTTCAAGAGTTTCTAATTTCGTTATCTTTTGGCAATAGTCATTTTAATTTTTTTTTAATATATATACTTCTCTATTTCTATTTTTTTGAGAGAGTCTTATTTATTTATTTACTTTCATCAAGTTCTTATCCTTAACAGATTAAGAAGAGTATATTTATAATATCAGAGCTTTGTCTTTTCTTTATTAAGAGTGGATTAGCTCTTTCTCTTGATAAGACCTAAGCATATTAGGAGTTATAGATTACTCTCTTCTAAATTGATATTGTCTTTAGTATTTTTTTCTTTATTTCCTAATCTTTTCTTCTATTTGTCTTGAGCAATATCAAACATCTTCTTTTCTTTAAGTATTATCATGGCAAATCTTCTCAAAATGAAAAGTACAATGGCACAAATGTAAGATCAATTGAGGGAGTTAATGCTTGCAATGCATCAACTCAATTTACTATGACATGGAGTAATAAGAATGATAGGAGGCGATGATAATTTGGAAGCTTTTTTGGTAGAGTTTCAATCCAAATATGGAGAACATGATGTAATTTGTGCTGTAACCAATAAGATTTGTATCTTACAATAAATCAATTGATTAGTAATATTATATGCTACAAAGTATTGACAACTTGCAAATGATATTAAGTGAAATGATGCTGCACTAATTAGCCAATTTTTCTACAGATTACAATATGATGTATAAAAATTGATTCTAAACTTACTTCATCTTCAAACATTGAGTTAAGCAATTGATTTTGCAGTGAGGTGTAACAATTGACTTTCTGATTTTTAATTTGAGAGTTGTACAGGTATATCTCCATATTAATATAATTCAATGACAATGCCAATATCTTTTCAATACATAAATTTGGAAGTAGAGAATATGGAAATTGATGCAATATGTTTCAAATTTCTTTTTAAATAAGAAAAGATTTCTTGTTGTCAAGAAGGATTGTACTTGTATTGTGGAAAACTTAAGCATACTACTCAATATTATCCAAAGAAGTAATGCAACTACAAAATGAGGAGTATGATTATCAAAAAAGATAATATATTAAAAAACAAGTTTGTCCAGCTACAATAGTGATAGTGTGGCTGAAATCTTGTATAATACCTAGTGAAGATTTTATTCTCTCCTCAAAATCTTTTCATTATTTTATAATAAATATTATTTTAAAACCTAAGCATCATAAAGCCTCTGTCTTATTAGATTTAGGAGCCTTAAGATATTTTTTAGTTGAAGAATTTGCTAAAAGATATATCATATCTTTAGTAAAGAAAACTAAACCTGTTCACATAGAAGTGATAGATGGTCATATATTGTCTTTAAAAAATGTTACTCAAGAAATTCTTCCTATAGAAGTAACAACTAATGGTCATAGTAGCTTTATAATATTTAATATCATTAGATCTCTCTCTAATCTAATCATTTTAGATCTATCATGGCTAAAAAATTATAATCCAAAAATAGATTAAATTTCTTATAGTCTTGATTTTTTTGAAAGTATAACTAAGACTATAGTTGATTAAATAGAAAGTCATAAGTGTAGTGTAATTAAATCTATATTTGTAGGTATAAGAGATTTCTTGCATGTTGTAAAAAAAAGATTACTTTATGTCATTTATGCTACACTTGTTTCTAATGGTAGAAAGACTTTAAGTAGCATTTGAAGCCAATATCAAGATTTTACAGATATACTTGAAAAAAAGAATGTAGATACTCTACCAAAACATTGTCTCTATGACTGTTCAATTGACCATTAAGAAAGAGTTCAATCATGATTTGGACCAATTCATAGTTTATCATAAAATGAATTGATTGAATTCAAGGAGTATATTGAAGAAAATTTGGCTAAGAATTTTATATGCTATTCCAAATCTCTAGCAAGAGTTCCAATTTTATTTGTGAAGAAAAATAATGGATTATTGCAAATGTGTGTTGATTATTGAAGATTCAACAAAATCACTATCAAGAATAGATATCAATTGCATCCTTCTTGGTTCTAAACACCGACTTATAATCAATTAAAGATCAATTTAATAGAAGTTGAGTCATTTTCCATATTCTATTATTCATAAGTGATTTTTATTCTTTTTCTATGGCATTTTCTACTTCTTAGCATCTGTGGACTTCATTGCATTATACAAATTCAACAAATTAGTAAAAAATGCAACATTAGCATGTTCTTCACTTCTTTAAGAAAAGATGTGATTTATCCAGCAATCACCAAGTTGTTTTCTATCTCTCAGAAGATATCTCCTTATACTTAATGAAGATTCACCTTTTTGCACTTCAAGGTCTCTTGTAACCTTCTTCTTTCTTAAAGCTTGTCTTTTCATAGTTAATGGTTGATACTCTTCATTGTTATTATCTTCAATATCTTTATTGTCTTTTTATTGCTAGTTTTAACAATTATAGATATACTTTAATCTACCTTCTTTGGCTCGTCATCTTCATTCATGCCTTTACCATCTTTATTTTCATCATCTTCTTCTTTTTTTTTTGCTAGAATTTCAGATGTATCTACAAAGACACCATTACTCTCACATAAACACCTCTTTAAGTGCTTACAAGCATTCTTATGCTCCAAAAATTCTACATCATGATTCTTAATGATTTTTTGTGGTTTCTAAATATATAAGCCTATATGCTTTAATACCTTCACAATATCCAACAAATACATATTTTGTATCTTTTGCATCAAGTTTGGACCTCATACAATCTGATATTTTTGTATAAAGAATGCATCCAAAAATCCTCATGTGTAAACATAAGGTTTCTTGCCACTTCAAGCTTCTTGTGGCATCATTGATGTATATGTATTTATAAGACACATATTCTTTGTATATACTACTATAATCATGGCTTCCATCTAATATTCATATCTAACATTTTGTGCTTGAAGCATATTTCTTGTCATCTCTACAATAGTGCGATTTGTTCTTTCAACAACTCCATTTTGTTGTGCAGTGTAAAGAGTAGAAGTTTGTCTTACAATGCCTTGAATCTTTAAAAAATCATCAAAATGCTTTGATATATATTCACCTCCATTGCTTGTGTGCAATATTTTGATCTTACACTCACATTACTTTTTTACAAGTGCCTTAAACTCTTTAAAACTTGAAAAATATTCATTCTTAATTTAAAGGAAGTAAATCTACAATTTTTTTTGAAAAATCATCAATAAATGTAACAAAATATCTTACTACTCCAATTGATGGCATCATCATTGGTCTACAAACATCAAAATGCACAATCTCCAATAATTTACTAGGATAAGTTGCAACTCCTCTTGAAAATGAAGTTTTTTTTTTTTTTTTTTTTTTTTTTTTGTCTTGAATACAACTTTCATAAGCAAGTGGCATGACATTGTGGCTAAATTGACCAAGATCCAAGCCAATTACTATGGATTGGAGCTCTTTCTACTTTTGGCATTCAAATGATGAAGTCATTGATGCCAAATTCCAAACTTGTCTTGATTTTGTAAAAAATCAGTAAATGCCTTTTTACAATTGGTGAAGTAGAGGTTGCCATCTTTGAGGCCTTTGACAATATGTTGTCTACCCAATGTATTTACAAAACATCCATTCATTTCAAATTGAACCTTACAACCATGTGATATAAGTTTGCTCATCAAAAGAATATTCTTCTTCATCTTTGATAAATGTAAGACTTCTTTCAATTTGGTCCTCTTTATTTGATTATTCACAATGATCTCCTCAACACATGCCATTGTCTTCCAACCAAATATTTGTTGCTGGAAGTTTTGTAACAGTACTTAGTGAAAAAGCACGACAAGGATGAGCTCCAAGTTGACGAACAGAGAACATTATATTTGTAGAACCTCATTCATCCAACAATGATTCTCTCCTTAAAGCTGGGGCCTGAGCGAGGCGCGTTGCCGCAAATGGCATCGACATCGATCCCAATTGCAAGCCAATCGATCGCGGGTTGACGCCGACAAGGTTGAGGATCTTGCCATCACCCGCACGACACCTGTGCCGTCAAAATGAGATTCGCCCCATGAATTTTCATTCTGTATTGGGAATTTGCGGTCCTATGGCTTGCCTTCCAGTTTCGGCTTTGTTTTGTGGGCTGTGTCGATGCAATCCATGGCGATGTGCATTTTGATGCCGGCGATGGGCTTCGATTATAGATGACGACGTGAAATTTGGGTGCGGTTGGAATTTTTCGTTGCGGTGCATCGCAGGTTAGAGTCGACTGTCGGTGGGAGTGGTTGTCGATGGCGGTTCTGCGCTGGTTGTGTTGCTTGACGTTTTTTGGGGTCGGTTTTGCTGGTGATTAAGCCAGCAGGGACGGTGTTACGTGACGGGCTTGGTCAATTTTGCGTCTGGTGTGTAGGGAGATGGTTTCACACGCGCATCTTTAGGGTCGCATCCTCGGTGAATTGCGAGATGATTTTTTAAGTAGATCAATTGGTATTTGTTTTCTGATGCTTCGTAATCAAACGACCGATTGATTCGTGATCATGAAGGATGAATTGCATTTTGTGTAGTTGCTGCGGTTCTGCTGTGGGGAATCCCGTCGGTGCATGCCACTGCCCTTATGGTTATGTGATTGTTCTGAATTGTTTCAACGGTTCACGCCCGTTAACATGTAGTGCGACCTCTGCAGTTAAGGTAAATCAGAAACGTCAGTGAAGCTCATTAATGTCATTAGGAATTGTGGTGTTAATACCCTCCATCGTGCAGATTTGAATTGAGCTTTGATTTGTGTTTTAATTTTCTTTTCCCTTTAGTTTGTTTTGGCATGTGGGCACTTTTCATGATGGTTCGCGTGATTAACAGAAATTGCCCCAATTTAGCTATTTCCCTAGGCGATGGAGGAAGTGGAGTGCATAGAAGATTTCTTTCTGGTGTCTGGGGACCAGTATCATTCGCTGATGTTGATGCCCTTCGCCGTGAATGACATTCCGTGGGTGCGTCCGGAAGTGGAGAAAGTGCATGCGCAAGGCAAACGCAACGGGATTGACTTTTGTGTTGAAATTGACTTGTGGAGACTAAAGCTTTCGCTGAAGGGAAAACCCAAGTTCTTTGTCCATCAAGTGACGGGTGCATGGTTAGCTCATTACTCACACGGTCACCCGTTAAAACTGTTGAGATATTGCGTGTCGTCTGTTCTTATTCTTGGCCCTTTCGTATTGATGTTCTTGGCTGGAACAGTTACCCGAATTCCAATTACCTCTGATCGCCATTTGTTCACTTCCAGGATGGAGCTTCGCAAACCCCATGACTTTTACTTGGAGACCATGAAAGTCGTTTTGGTGGCAGCTTATTTCTTGACCTTCGCTAAGCAGAACCCAAATTCATCCAAAGGAGACGTATGGAGATTCGTGCGCAAGCAATGTAGGTGAGCCATGTTGCTTGTAAACCCCTGATGGCTGGATTCAGATGTTTTTAGTATTCAATGTTGAACGGGACTTGCTTCGATTCTGTCAGACGTTATTTACAAATAAACGGACTTTCATGAAGTTGCAGTATTGTGTCAATTGTGGTTGTCCATCTTTCTATTTGAAAATCAGTACCTTGCCTCTTGTCTGGAATTCGACGGCTGTATCTCGAAGTCATATTTGTTACCCACGAGCTTCTGCTTACGATTTGGCTGCCTACTTTGTCCGTAGTCACCATAGTTGCTATCTTATTTTCCCTACCCATTGCGTCAATTTTCTTTCCTTTTATTTATTTTTATTTCATTTTTTATCTTTTATACTAATTATACGATCTGATTTTTATATAATCTTTCAATTGCAGTGGATTCAAAGCGAAACCAAGTCCGAATGATTTGCAACAAGCGTATCTTCTGCTAAAGTCAGTCGTGAAAAGTGATTTAATATTACAAGAATCTCCCGTGAGTTCAATTTATACTTCGTTACTTTTGGAAGCACATGGGTGTGTATTTCTGAATTTCGATGGTACATGGAATTGCTTGATTCCTCATGTGATCATGGAATCACCAGTAAGGTTGCAGCGAAAGTATATCGCGTATTTCTAACTTGACTTCAACGAAGACTTTATATGAATTTACAACACATCGCTTACTCCTTTTCTGATTTCATATTGGCGGCAGATTATACCGTTATTTTTTCCAAACCTTTGTAAGGTGCGAGAACCTGAAGTCGTTGAGGTGTGTGAAAGGCTTCATGAGGATGTACAATGTCCACCTGTTTCAAGGGCTTTAACATATGAGGATCCTAGCAGTGGCGAGAAAACCCACACTCTGGAAGCTTCCAGTTTACAAGGTGACGCGTTTATAAGGAAACCAATCTGGAAATTCACCAAGAGGAAGTGCAATGTTGCCGAGATTGAAATGGAACCAGATCTTTTTCCTCCAAATATTTTGACCCCAGAACCAAAAAAGAAACCAGGACGATCGCTTTTACTTCGAAGTGTACGCAAAAAAAGAAAAGAAACCGATGAAGTCGGAGATGACAATTGGATTGATGAGCCTGATGTTTGTGCGTTTTGTGATGATGGTGTGGAGAACGGTGAAAAGCTCTTATGGTACGGTCTAGCTTTCTAAAAGAAGGATTGGCTATTGTTTGTGTTTACCTTCGTTTGTTCGCATCATTCTCCTGTTACCAGTTTTCAGATATTGAGTGCATATTCTATGCAGCTTCCGTACTGGGTTTCGAATTTGCAGTCTGTGAACTGTGTGATCATGCAGTTGTGAAGGTCTGTGCATGCGATCCTTTCATCCGACAATAAACTCTGGGTTGCAAAATAAATGCCGCACCCTTGGTCTCTCTCCAGCAGCTGTCAATGTAAGCTCACCCACCTGGTCGGTGTTTCCCTTACTTTGGAGGTTTCCATTGACATGGTAGTCTAGTTTAGCACATTAATTAAAAGTACATCAGGTTATAATCTATCCATGTATTAAAGTCTATATGCATATTGGGTCAACTAACTAGGTTCAGGTGGTTCAAATAATCGCTACCCACACATGCATGCGTTGCGGCCAGGATAAGTACCGTGTCATAGTCCACGTTCACCGTGATATAGCTCAAATCTTCACCTCCCTCCATTTTACTACAGGTTAAAAGTTGGATTTGTCCAAATTGTGAAGCTGGGCAGCATCAGTGTTTTGCTTGCGGGAAGCTTGGAAGTTCAAGTAGTGGCTCATCAAGCAATTCAATGGGTCTTCTGGAGGTAAGAAGCACACAAGTCTAAATATTGAGGTTTCCTCATACTAATTAGGTGGTATTATTCTTCGTGAATGCGCCTCTTAGTTTGTGCATGTAGGGAATATTATCGTGATCTCTTCAAACGATCTGCTTCCAACCAAATCTAACTTGGTGTTCGTATTCCGGTTCAGGTCGTTGTATGCGGAGCCAAGTATTGTCAACGTTTCTACCATCCTGATTGTGTAGTCAAGCTCCTTGTCCCGGAAGCGGAACAGAAGGACTTGGCTATGCGTATCCGGCTAAGTTTGGAGACACTCATTTGTCCACTTCACAAGTGTGTAAGCTGCAACTTGGACGAAGACAAGAAGGAACCCAGTCTACGCCTTATGAAGTGCAGGCGGTGCCCCTTGGCATGGCACGAGAAGTGCTTGCCCGAGTATGGTTCCTCTCAATCAACTTCTTCAGAGCGTATTTATCTTTTTAGCTATTCATAGCCTTTTTCCTTTACAAAGAATTGACTAATGTGTTCTTATCATTTTTCATCATGTGTTTTACAGTACCTGAAATTGACTCAGTTTTGATAAAAGTAAAAAGAAAATAAAAACCCTTTGATATTAATGTTTTGTAGCAATTTCAGCTGTTTGTGATCAAACCCATGGTGAATGTAACGACCGACCTTTTGCACGTGTTGATTATGCATTTTGTTTCTATGGATCAGAGAATGCCGGAGTCAAGTGTGGCCACTAGAAGATGGCAAGTGTGTTATGTATTGCGGGTAAGTATTTCATGAACCCAGAATTTCCCTCATGGTGTAACTGTATTAGGGGATCGGTGACGGAGGCATCACAGACTCGGGTTTAGCTTTTAACGGTTCTCTATGGGTGAGCAGTCGACACAGAATTGACCCGGAGTTGCTTACCCCGGAGCGCGACCACATTCTATTCCCACCGCCCAAACCTGTAAGCTGCTTCACTCTTACCCTCAAATGAAAGAGAGAAGAGCAGATCCTTGCTTGGCATTGATAGAGTTTGAAAGCCAAGAGTGCATGGAAGCACTGAATTTGACCCCATTGAATGTGCTTCTTACCTCTTGTGACGATTCTCTTACAGGGTAGGACAACGAGCAGACCGAGGGTTACACAGCCAGTGTACATCTTGCCGGCTACAGATTAACTTGTTTCTCAAGAGAGATCACATAATTTTTGTAATTTCGTTGCTTACGACGAGAGAGAGAGAGTTTGGAACTTTAGTCTTCGTGCTTCAGACAGAGGAGTAATGGTTCCTCTATTTCTATCAGAAAACCCTGGCGCAGGATCTCCATACAACCTAAGGGCGTCGTAAAGATGAGCTGAAGCCTGCTGGAGACGATGCCGCAGGGGCTGCTGATGTACTGATCTTCCGACTTTCGATGCTGAAGATGTGCGCTTGGTCGACGACCGTCTTGTAGTTCTGGGTAGCAATTGTTCCCAGTTTGTGTATAGAATCTGCGTAGAGCTGCGTAGAACTGCTCGTCAGCCGACGATTTTGAAAGGGAGGGGCACTGGTACTAATTGGAAGTTAGGCAGCAAGTCAAGCGTGCAATCAGGTGAAAAGGGATGAGTTCTCTCTGTTAGTTGAAAAGATTTTATTCTTACTCATTAAGATTGTGAACGCTTTGTTGCTTCGATAGTGATTGTGTCCCCTTTTGCTGCTTGGTAAATTTTTGAAATAGTTTGTGGCGTATATGTGCACGATGCCATGATGAAGTACCCGGTTGAAATGTTTAGCATGCTTTATCTAAAGTTTCTAGTTAAACAGGAATCTTCTAGCATTTAAATTGTGGATATCCTTCCTAAATGAGTGGGAAGACACCTGCGGTGCTTGAAACCGTTTGGTCCAAAGCAGCGACTCATCTCCAACTCGATTATAGAGACTCGCCTACTAAAGGATACCATCAAACATAAAATGGTACAGGAGCTGGGTGGCTAAATAGCTATATTAGCGTTTTCTGAGTGCAATTGCGCTTGCTTGGTACTGTTTGTGCATGTCCATGAGCGTATTTGAAATTTCAAGTTTCAAAGAAAGGTTCTCAAGTCCCATGTAGGACTTGTCATGAGCCATTCGCGTCGGCTCATCTCAAACAAACTTTCTTTGCACGACGCATGTTAGTCTTTTACATCTGCAATGCCGCCGCGAGTGATCTGAAAGACGTAATAAAGTCAAGGCACAAGCAGATGGTAAGAAAGAACAGGATGGATCCCAACCCGCTCAAAATTAAGTGCTTGTGAAAAGTCTGCGGTTGTTTTACCAAAACCACATGTCTGCAACATGAAACTTGATTTTGATCAATTCATTACGTGGTGTATTTGACATAGAAAGTCAAAAGCACAGAAAGAATCGTAAGGATATTGCTTCATCATCTGGCAGATTCGGTGCATCGAATACTTTGCATATCCGCTGTTCAGCCTTGCCCTTTCTGAGCATCAGCCGTACAGTCGAAGCATGAGCCATAACATGACCACCAGCAGGTTTTTTTGGATCGGCAACAAATGTTCCTCCTCCAGGATCAGCTATTACTGCACAATAGACAAATAAGAGCCATTGTAAAGAAGAAACATACATCGGATTCTGAAGGAAGTAATTGCCTGTGTAGTAATAGTTGTTTCTGCATAGAATACGAGTTATAAATGCCGGCATAGAATGTGTAATTGGCATATCTGTTGGAACAGGTCTGATAGCCTCAGCACAAACAAGCACAATCTTGAGACAATTGGAAACCTCACTCTTCATTCTCTAGTTAGAATTTTGACAGATTTCTCATAGATATCAGAAGCATCTATGAATACGAGTCAATTGGTTAATGTGAAGTGGTTACCATGATTTGTCATGAGAACAGCAACGTTATACTCCTCGGCGAGCTTCATTAGCTTGGAAAGCATTTGGGCCAGCTTTTGCTGTTAAAAGATGAAACATCCATTTCAAATCGTTGGGCTATGAAGTTTCTTTGAACGGTCTCAGAAACAAAATGTAGGCTGCAATCTTTTAATTTTGAGAATGATTACTATGTCATCCTGAGGTGGTCAGTTAACTCTGTAGCTACGGTCTGGAGATGATCAGGAATAGAGTAATAGGTGCAAATGTATAGAGTGGAATACTCTTTCCACAGACTGTGTTTATTTATTTATTTTTGATAATACCTGTCGATCAGCAAGTTCTCCTCGTCCTGTGAAGTCCACTCGGAAAAGCGCCATAATTGAATCGATGACCTGTTTTACCTCAGGCAATACATTCCATGTTCAATATTGGCGAATATTGCTGCACTGCCAAGGGTCTGATTCTTTCGATAGTTTCTAACAAGGCGGTCGAAAACAGTCCAGGGAAGTATGAAATCGGCTTCCGAATATCACAGACAAAGGGTGGGAACATCAATCGATATTAAAAACAGTTTAATGAAAACATATTCACAGCTGTTCATCTGGGGTGCTTACCACCAATCTAAAAGGTTCTTCTGCCATCCTGCCAGACAATCCTGACAGCAGGTTGTATTGGTGCTCATGAGTATATGCACGAGCGTAAACAATCTAGCAGCATCGCAACACCAGGATTAGAAGGCTTGAATGGAAATTATGATCAATGGATGTTGAGGTCCCACATTTCCGACGCTGTTTTTGAAATGTTTCAGATCAGATAGAAATTTCGTCGGCTTGACTACTCACATTGTCAAGAACAGCTGTGTAATCGAGTCCAAACCGCTCCGCAATTGGGGCGAGTCGATCTGGTCGACTGTTTCATTTTGCAGTACATCAGTTTTTAATTGCTGATTTTGAGAACTCGCATGACCCGATTGTTATTAAGAATATTGTTCTGAGCTTTTGGTTTTACCCGAATCACGCAACAATGCACTCAACTGATAAACAGAAGGAATATCTACAAAAACGTTCTATGCGTAGCTGAGAGATACAGCAACAGTAGAAAGTAACAAGAACTGAAATAGTTTCTCACAATGTCCCTTCTGTGTCGATGTATGCCACCTTCCCATTTCCTCCTCCCATGCTGAAGGGGAGCTGTGGTTAGAAAAATAGAACTCGTTAGAATCGAGGTGGAGCGTGTTGATTTTATTCAGGTCATTGTCAAATTGACATTCACATCGAAAACCAGTTTTGAACTGTTCAAGTGACTTCGACGACGAGAAGGAACTGGTTAGTACCTGTGTTGAAACACAAAGTGTGTGAGCGATCTGAGTCTTCCCGGTTCTGTCAAATGTTCAAGACTGTGAGTGCCATGTAGATTTCTGTATTAATTTTAAGTGAAGAAAAGATTTAAACAAGTTGCAAAGAGATGAAGCATCCATTATGCGAACCTAAACTCGCCGAAGACCTCCGTAATTGACATCGTCTCGACACCACCTAAATCAAGGTAAGAAGCAAGCGCTAAAATTTGTTACACACAGATCATTTGTCATAAAAAACACCGACCCAGTGATCTGTCCAAACTTCGTATGCAGTATGCCATGCGCACAGAAAAGCGTTGCAACTATGTGATATACGATCCACAGAAACTCGTCTTGAGTTTGAAGGAATAATATGTGCACTAGAATTAGTGAGGGGAAAACCTCCAAGCAGTGTATCGAGAGCTTGACTTCCAGTGGTGATCCGTACGACTGCTTTCCGCTGTTGTCAGCCATAGTCCGGGGGGTTTTATGACACATCATTGGACCATTTAATTAACGAAGGAAGTAATCTAAACAGAATTAAAGAATTTGAGTCCCCTAAATTGGAAGAACTGGATATAATTTTATGTCTTCAAACACGCGTAATATATTCTTCATGCAGAATTTCGCTATCAGGGAAGAAATTGCAGCTAGTTGTTTTCTGCTTGTAGTTTGAATCTAGAGTCTCACTCTGTTAAGAAGCTCACTTCCAGTGCAGAATCCAATTTGCTGTAAGTGGAGCCAGTTTTGTTAGAAAGCATCCTTGACGACACTTGAAGGGAATGCACAACTACAAGAAGGAAAGATGTATTCATTAGAAATCGTGAGACGCATTTCATGCATTATATTGTTTGGATAAAGGTTGATGCTGATCCTTGCCGACACTTAAACCAGGCTAATCCAAGCACAATACATGGAAATTCCCCTCTAAGAACTCACCACAATTCTTTCCGCTGCTTCGCAAATTTTGTCAACTTTTGCGTCTGACAAGCCTTTAATATTTGATAACGCCTGCACATTGCCCAAAGATTAAGACAAGCAGAGAACTTGCGCTGATAAATTACTTGCCACCTGCTTATACGTAAACGTAAATAATTCCTGAATTGAAGAGGTCGTTCGCCAATCCATGTTCAAAATACCACTTGTGAGCATTTATGCGAAATCAACAATTGAGGTTGCAGATTCGTATATATATATATATATATATATATATATATATATATATTCAAAATTTAATTAAAGTAGAGAGGACCTTCTTTGTGTTCATCATCAGTCCATTGCAAGTGTAAATCCCCGCATCTTGTAGTTTCTTGAGGTCTCCAGCATTTATTCCCTGCGCAATAACTGTTCCAGAAGGCGTCAACGTCTCTTGCAAGAACTCAATGTCCAGAAAAACAACCCGATGCGCACAAGATCATCGAATTTAGGATGCCGGAAGCCTATTGAAGCCCCTCTCAACGAATTGAGTAATAACCTGCGGATGTGATCAGCTCTAAGGAAAATATTTTCTCTGAGCACTTCATGTTATGAAATGCTGCGCGCATTTCTTAGCGTGGCATCCGTCGGTTCACGCTCTTATTCTGACCAGTGTGGTTGGCACATGATTAGTCCTTAAATTTACCAGTAACGTAGATTTGACTGGATCCAAAAGAAACTCACGTTTGTCGATCGTCTCGAAGAACTCATCGTCTTCTTCTTCGTGATCAATTTTGTTCTGCTGCCTGCACGACAGTAACATCAATTACTCTCTACGCGAGAATTGAATCTACTGTTACCAGAATAATTTCAGAAGGCAACCACCTCGAACAAAATTTCAAACGTCATACCTCCTGCCACTGTAAATTTGAAACTTCCAAAATACTGTCAGGCATGTAGAGTGTAATATTGCAGTGGTGGTGTGTCTTTCAAGATTTAGCAACTAGAATTGTCCGCTGACAAGAAAATGCGAGGGAGGAACTTACATGATGATAACTCAAGAGATCAGTGAATTAAACGTCACTCCGAATTCCACGAGAATTGAGTTCTTACACGCTCTGAATCGGAAGTCCTACTGCCCTACATGTAGCATCAGAAAGATTTCGTTTTAAAATTTTTGTCAGCAGAGGATTTTACGAAAAACAGCGTTCCGTCTCATGAATAACAACACAAAAGAATGATATCCAAAGGTACTAAAATCATATGGAACGATAGAGATGCCATCCAAACGGAAACATGGAATTCACACTTCCGTGTTGTCGGATTGGAAATCCTACGTTCAAGGACTGCTAAGCTACAGAACAATGTGAGGATTGTCTGAGAAGGAAGAATTCAAAAGCATGTATTCATGAAGAAGAGCTCATCGGAGCACTAATTGAATATTACGAACATGTGGAAACTCACCAACCGCTGAGCTGAGCCGCTTCTTCAGACCACTAGTGACGCAAATAGCGTGTACACGAACACATTAACCGGCCTAGCGCAGGATCGGAGAGCTCAGAATATGCTGACACAAACTGCCCGGCACAGTTCCTGAACTTGGCTTCGATGTTCCTGAACAGCCGTGGACAGGTCTCATGTACCTCTACAGTTGAGGGTCGTTTTCATCGGCCTCGGAACGAATTGGCGCCACCGAGAATTTCGAATTCAAATCATCGGCAGTTCCCATTGTGACCCCCGACCCGTCGATGTCCTTTCCACGAGGCCGAGCTCGACTTCAACTTTCTTTCCAAAAGTCAAGGCCAAAAAAGGTGGCAATCTTTACATCTCATTGATACAAATGTAAGAACCCGTCCTAAAGCTCTTAACATTTTTGCCTTTTTATCTTTTCTTTTTATCTCCTTCTGCTACTTCTTTTTTTTCTTTTCTTTTTCTTTTTAGCTTTGTTTTAAATATACATTGAACGCATGTATGAGTCAAGTACAGTTGATAAATATATATATATATATATATATTTTTTTCTATTAAAATTTGAAACCATTTGAAACCTTCCTAATTTGTATCATTTAGTGAAATTTTTTGTTAAAGTAAAATTTCTTAAATACATGGTACAAAAGCTTATGATATTCAAATATTTTTACTGTCAAACATATTTGTAAAAGAAATAGTAACAACAAATATATATATATATATATATATATATATGAAAATGTTAAATTGACTATAGCCTTTATGAAATGAACCTGCATATCAAAACCATTATTATTCTCCATCATTATTTCCCTGGTTCCAAACCCTTATCTCCTTTCTCACCCCATGTCCCCCATCTTCAATCTCAACCTTTCGACTCCTCATCCCTGTTTTGAGTGCCTATTCCCTGCCTCCATTCTCAACCCTTGTTCCTTGTCCCCATTCCCAACCTTTGTTTCTTGTCTCAACTCCTCTGCTCAGGCAAGTAGACCCTCAAATGTCATGATCTTTACATCTTCTACTACAAATAATATTTTGGTAGCATTTTCTTGTGCCTATATGAAGTATTATTTTGTTTGCAGCTCAAGCACTGCAAATTATGGATTTAATGCTCCTCTTTCTTTGGTTGAAGATTGCCCCACATTAATTGCAATGTAAAAGCAAGCTTTTCATTTCTCAATTAATAGAAAAGTGAGGGAACAATTTTGTATGAAGAAAGAAGTAGTTTTAGTTTCTTATTAGATGTGTATGAAAAAATATCCATTGATATCATAAGCAAGAATATAATTTTTTTTGATGTAATAATATACTCAATTTAATCAACAAGGTGTTTTTTTTAATACTTCTGTATTTATTTTTAATAACAAATTATTGCTAATGATGTTCAGATTTATTGTGTCTAACCAAATTCTATCATCATCTAATATTATACATAGTACCACTAATAACATAACCAAGTATATAGCTGAATTGAATCAACAATATGTCACATTTGTTTTGATTTTTCTTCAATTATAATAGGCACAAAGTGTTCAAATAAAAAAATACTATAGATAATGGACTAAGAGCATATTTTTTTATTTTACAATGTGAAATTACTTATAGAGGATGCATATGCAAAAGAGAATGGTGATTTTACTCAAAAGAAATTTTCTCTTGAACTAAGTTTGCCTTGGAAATACATCTATGATCAAATTTGCCCCTCATGCTATATATTCTTATGTGATATCAAAACAATGAAGTAGAAATTGTGATGAGTCTTTGATATATTCTTTAGCATTAAATCTTAGATCTATATTTAGCCTCCCACATGGACACAAAGTCAAGAGGGTGGAGGATATGGTCTACTTTGCTACGCTATTTATACTTTTGTAGGCCTTATAGGAAAACTTAGTATGTTATTTTCTCTTGTTCATGAACTAGCTTTGGCATTCCTAACTCACAAATTTATCAATATGAATCTAAAAATTAATGAAGTGACACTCAATCAAGACTCTATGGATCAAATAATCAAATCAGGATTAATTTTCTCAGGCTGCCTTACAAGAGGCCATGCAGCACCTTTGAGCCTATTATTGAAGCAAGTCAATTCTTCAAAAAGAAACTTGCTACTGAAAAAATCTTTCATGAAGTCAACTTACTTGCTCATGACGATGAACAAAGGACAGAAGTTGGGAACAAGGAGGGGGAAGTGAGAACAAAGACTGATATTGAGAACAGGGACAAGGAATTAAGATGGAGGATATGGGTTGAAAACAAAGAGGAGAGATGGGAGGAACAGGGAAGGAGGGATTGAGACGAAGAATAGGGGTTGGAAGCAAAGAGAGCATAGACAAAAAAAGTCTTAATAATGGTTTTGATAGGTGGATTGATTTAGTAAAATTTTAAGTCAATTTAACATTCTCATGTATGTAAATATATATATATATATATATATATATATATGAACATACATACATGTAAATATGTAGGTTTTTATTTATTTATTTGCCAATCTATTTATATTTACATCAATTTGATTAGAAGTAATTACATACATGAAAGTGTTGTCTATGGTTTGAATTCTTTTGTATTACTTGATTCGAGCCAAATCAAAAGTAAATTGAGTAGGATTTTGCACAATGTAGGCTTTATATAATTTTGCCAATAATTTTTTGTATTAATAAGGCTTTATTCTTTTTTAATTTTAAAATTTTAGACCCTAGAATACCAACAAAAAATTGACTAATTAATATATATTTCATTGTCAAAAAACTAATCCAACAAATTTTAATCAAAGCTTAGTATTTGAGTTGTACCTTAAGCATGAACCATATTTCATTGAATGTCTAGATTACTAAGAATACAATAAATTTAAGAAACCAAAATGAAATGATTTTCTACTAGAATTTTTGAAACCAACATTCTTTCCTTCTCCTTTTTAATTTTCAATCTGAAAATTTTTTATATCAAAATATATACTCACTGTATTTTGTAATCTTGGTTGTAATATTATGAATGATGAGTCAAAAATAAATCAAACAATTAAAATTATAAAAAAGTTATAAGGTCATTTAAATCACATTATAATCTTGTAATTAAATTTTTTTCAAAAGAAATTAATTAATTATAGTTGTATGAATATATTGATAATATCCCTGATATTCATTGTAAATTATAAATTTATGTTTTATTTTGACTGATTTAAACATTCATAACTGTAGCTTGGATTTCTTATCTCACTCACTCAAAATTTATTTAAAAATAAAATAAAATAAAATAAAATAACGGATTTAATATTCATTTGAAATATAAATAGAAATGAAGATTATAAGTTCAAACTAAAAAGAAAAAAATCAGAAGAAAAAAAAAAGAAAAAGAAAAAGAAAACAAAAACAAAAACAAAAAAAAAAAACGAAAAGTTAAACAAAGGAATAAAAATGAAATAAAAAAAATATTTGTTTAAAGCATGCAAATATCGAAAAATCATAAATACTAAAATTTGAAGGCATCAATGCGTTTAAGCATAAAATTAAAAAAAGTATGTCAACCTTTACCTGAAACCTAAACAGTAGAAGAAAGTTATCATAAAGTCCATGTTCACAATATGAAGCTGTGCTGTTTCCATGATTTTTTTTTTTAATTTTAAACTTCAAACACAGATTGGGATTTTCTTGAGTAGTTCCTAAACATTTTGGGCTGAAGAGTAAGAACGCCAAATTCAGAGTTAAACTGATGCTATCAGAATATCCATTACAAACCTACAACCACACACAAAAGCAATCCATCAAATCTAACTTACCAAAACTCTACTTATCATCCATGTCACCCAAGTGGCAAACTGCATGTAGAATTTTCACCTTTGTTTGCGATTCTCACTCTTCAGTAAAGGGTGGGTGTTTGCCGCCATAGGAGGTGAACCAGCAGCTTGCTCTGCAAGAGTCTGATGCACAGCTTGACCCAATCGACCACAAGCAAAAACACAACCAGCATAAGAAAAAGATAAAGAAAACCCAATTATCCGGCACTGTGGTGAGGCACTCCGAAGACTGGGCTCCGTGCTACACGTGCTTCTCAGGGAATCTACGCACCAGTGAACCATGAACCCAATCACACCCCAACAGATGGTACGCGCAGAGCGCTTCATTGACGGATGCATAATTCAATAAAGCTAAATAATAAAGTATTTTCTGGGTTGAGAGCCCACCCGTTGACACGTGCCGCTTCTCGCACCCGACCCCAATGAATCTATTTCCTATCACCCACGGTTGGCATAGCTAAAATGATGGTGTAAGGAATTAACGAAATTGAGATCTGTCCTCGTGCTTTCCAACTGCAGACAAAAATCCCGCCCGCTCCAGGTTCATGAAAGCCGCGGCAAGAAGTGGCATTGAAAATCTTCCATTATCCCAGCCCATCTTCAATTCCATCTCACAAATTAAGCGATTGAAACAGGTCCCCAATGTTGACATGTTAACACAGGCTCTCACACTGTCAAACATTATCCTGGTGAGTACGTCCACCTCTCAACCACGGCAAATGAAAGTAGAATTTATACCAGAAGTTAAAAATACCAGAATGTCTACAATCATTATCAAGACGCTCCAACCAGAAAAATGTATTAACCAAACATCTGAACATGAAAAACAAGATCCACACAGCGCACCAAATTCATTTGACACGTGCCGCTCAGAAATAACTGAGCGCCCATACACTCCGTAAAAACGCTCAAGACGTTAAAACTCGCCAATCCATATCATAAGGCAAAGCCCAAAACTCCCATCAGAACTTATCAAATCAGAAAACATCAAAACACTAACGCGTCAAGGCCTCTCATTAAAACCAATTCATGAACAACGACACACAAATAGGAACGGAGATTGCTTGTCTGAACTTCGCTTCAGTCGGTCATGCTTTCGTACACACATGTGCAAAAAATCGATCCCTCTTACCCTCGGATATACCGCACAACCTCCCCAAAGCCCTCCACCTCAGTGTGCCCACTCTAATAACTCAACAGACCATCCTTGATGGCCTTGGAACTCCTCCATTTCACTACCTCTATCTCTGACCTTAACCCCGACCAACTCTACACTGTAATGGATACCTCACGCAAAACGCTGCGCTCATATGTGTACAGGTGAGGCCCCAAAACAGACAATGCTGCTCTCTCCACAGCAAACCACTGTGCTATACATCTCCACTCGCACTTACTTCGCTCCCACCGCCCCTTCTCGCCGCGCTGGCCGCTGCTTCTACCCACCGCCTGGGAACCTCCCACTCCTCCCGCGCTTCCTTCTCCCCTCAAACCGCTATTCACATCTCTCCTCTTCAATGCTGCCACTCCCACCTCTCTCCTCTTCAATGCTGCCACTCCCACCTCCTCCCACCACGTCCATCATCCCCCCGCTCTCTCCAAACCATCCTTCCACGTCTCCGACAGCCTTCCCTGGAACCCGCTCCACGGACTCCGGGACAACCCGCTGCAAGATCCCACCCATGTGTCTACAGCCGCCAGCCAGCCTCAACTGCTGTTGCTCAGTTCCCACTCCTGGAACATGCATCGACTTCCCACACCGTTCGGATCCTGCTCGCCTTTCTCACATTTCCCACCGCCCACCCGGCGGCTCTTACGCTCCCGCTCCCCACTACCACGTTGCCGTCTTCGTCCTCCGCAACGTGCTCGACTTCTTCGCTCCACCCACTGTCGTCGCGGACTTCAATATATCCATTATCTGCAAACACTGCCACATTCGCCTCAATCAACACTCCCCGCATTTCCAACCTCCCCACCCACCACCACGACACCACCACCAACGCCCCTACCAATTCAACTACATCGCCACCTTCCCACCACGCCTACCTGCTTTTTCCTCCGCTCTGCCTCTTCCTCCTGCATCACCAAACACAACACACACCCCAACCTCTTCAGATCCTGCTCTTCCCCTTCCTTCCATCCACCCCTTCCCGCCCCACACCAAATGCATCACACGTCCTCCGCATCACCAACTCTCCCCCCTCCTCCCAACCCCGCAACCCCCAAAAACCACCCAACAGGTTGCTACTCGGCAAGAAGGCGGTACGTACAGATTTTCTGGTGGATACCTGCTGCTTCCTCAGCCGCATGTTTTCCTCCTTCAGTTGGCTCACTTCCGCCTCCAGCTCCACCGTGTAAGCCTGCACACCAACCCCCCCACAACTTTAGCCATCCCCGTCTCCACACCCCCCGCCCTTTCACGGCAACCAACACCAGAA